TGCGCGCGAAGCTCGTCGGCCACCGCCAGCGGCGCCAGGTGCGGCCTCTCCGGGTGGTAGAACTTGCACTTGACGCCGTAGGTGCATTTCTTGCCTGGAAGGGTGGGGGCAGGGGGAAGAGGGCGGCGTGAGACTGGCCGGGAGAGGCTGTGCGGGGCTGCGGTGTGGTGAGCGCGCGACCCTTCTTGGAGATTCCTCCAGCTGGGGCAGGACGAGGTGGGGAGAAGTGCCCCGGGGCCGGGTTAGAGGGGTGAGGGTGTGGTACGCCCCGCCCCGTGGTGTAGGGCGCTGGACCCAGATTGGCGGTATGGAAGCTCCCTTTGGCCAGGAACTGAGACCAAACCTCTAGATCCAATGACCATTGACCTCCACTTCCCCAGGGACCCTGTGGATAGGGCCAGCCTTGGGGATAGGGTGGGGAGCAGGTGCTCACGGCATAGGATTGCACCTCCAGTTCTGCCTCGGTTTCCACCATTGGCCTCATTCCTTCTGCTAACCATTGCCCTCTCCCTACAGGCTGTTCTAACAAGGGTGATCATGTGATTTATCACCCAAACCCGGACCCTGCTGAGAGCGGAAGCAAGATGAGCCAACCTGACCGTATGTGTGGTCACCTTGATTCTAACAAGAAATGACTGAAGATCACCTAAGGTTTTTTTAAACTTCTATGGACACAAGAAACAAGACCTGGGGATGTCAAACAAACAACAAACAAACTCGCCAAGGCAAGTTAGGCAAAGAGCTGGCTAGAAGTGCTGTGGGATAAAGTCCTTAATTCTTAATGGATAGCACTGACCAAAGTCCGTGAACAGATGGGGGTGGAGGGACCGTGGGGCAGGACGCAGACTCGAGGTCCCAGAGTGACCTCTGCCAGGTGAAGGGACGGAGGAGAAGCTTGGGGTACACACAGCCTCTGGGCTTCCTGGATACGCTTTGCCCTGCGTGTGACCCCTGCCTGTGGCCCTCACAAAGGCTCCCGTGCAACAAGCATCCAGCATGTCAGTTCATCCTTATAATAACCCTGTCAGCCCGTGCGGGCCATAGAGGTTAAATTAGCTCTCCAGTGTAACACAGCGAGTTGGGAGCGGAACCCGCACTAGAACCCAGGCTGCTGACTCCACCCTGTGCTGCCCTGAATGGGACCTGACCCGGGATCATGGGGCGTGGGGTGCTACCCACCATAGGGGCAGTGCTGCCAGGATGGCTCCGGGGGCTTCGGCTTCCTGCTCAGGAAGTTGCTCAGAGTGGGTCCCCGGCGGCCCAGGGGGTCATCAGGAGGCATGAACCTGTAAACAAGCACAAGGGGGCAACTGCAGGACCCATAGACTCTCGCCCGTGGCACCTGCACGGGGAGCAGGCCCAAGCCAGCCGGCGCAAGAATGGCAGCCCCGGGCATTGCGTTGGCCTGGGCTGCCCGTGCAGGGCCCCTTCTCCCACCTGGGGGGTGTGGCATCTGAGAGCCGTATCACCCTTCCTTCTCATGGATCCCAGGAGAGCCGCCGCAGACCTCTTGGGGAGCTCCTCCAGCAGCGGCAGAATCACCTAGCAACACCTTTCAGAATGCAGGCTCCTGGCTTCACACAAGTCCTGCTTAATCGGACACTCAGGTGGTTCAGGAGTCTGCGTGTAACAACTTTCCAGGTGATTTTTACCCACTAAAATGGAAGCATCTTTGCTCTGGGGCTCCCCTGGGCCCTGATCTGAAAGCGACTCTAAACTGCTTTCCCACTGTCCTCAGCAAAAGGGCCGAGACCTCCATGGGGCTACAAACAGCCCTGGGCCTGTGAGCCCCCTTACTCAGATCCCACTTCTCCCGTGTTGCCCCACAGCTCTGGACGTATGCCGGTGGGGGATTAATCTTAATAGAGTTTTGAAATGCCAGCCGGGGAGCCAGTGAAGGAGCAGATCCCAGGTGTGGCAGGCGCACAGAGCCTCAGTACAGGCCCAGCCCCTCCTCTGCAAACCCAGGAGCCTCTGGGTTTGGTCTCAGCTTGTGGGGCCGCCTGACCCCAGCCCTGTTCTCGGATGATACCACCCTGCCCCCTCTCTGCCCCTTCCCGTCTCCCCGGCATGCAGTCTCACAAGGAAGGGCATGCATCCTCAGTGTGCCCACAGCTCAGAGGGGTAAACATTCCTTGGAAGGAAAACTCCCCTCCTTTAGTGTCATCCATTTTTTTATATGAATAGTTTTATTCCCAGGAGGTACTTCCAGGTCATACAAAGGTTCTGCTAGAGGAGCTGTGGATCCTAAATGGGGGGGAGGGGGGCCTGTTTTTAATGGGTTGGCGTCCCTCTGAGAGTCAAGGGTCATACTGAGTCCCACCATGCAGACCATGTACCCTAGGCCAGCCCAGAACCGGACAATCCCCAGTCCCGGGCAGCCTCTGGGGCTCAGACCCCAGCTCCACAGCCAGCTTCTAGGACTCAGGCCCTGACCAAGAATCTTGGGGAGCCGCCCACTGTGGTTATTAGAGGTTCCCAAAGGCTTCACCTCCTGCTCTCCGCCGGGCCTTGGCCACGGCGAGCTGGGCCAAGGGGGGCCTGTTTTTAATGGGTTGGCGTCCCTCTGAGAGTCAAGGGTCATACTGAGTCCCACCATGCAGACCATGTACCCTAGGCCAGCCCAGAACCGGGCAATCCCCAGTCCCGGGCAGCCTCTGGGGCTCAGATCCCAGCTCCACAGCCAGCTTCTCGGACTCAGGCCCTGACCAAGAATCTTGGGGAGCCGCCCACTGCAGTTATTAGAGGTTCCCAAAGGCTTCACCTCCTGCTCTCCGCCAGGCTTCGGCCATGGTGAGCGGGGCCAAGAGGGCGCTATGGACGTGCCCAGGGCACTGGGGCAATGTGTCCTCGCCCACAGGCAGGCAGGCTCTGCCTTCATGGCAGCCGGAGGACCTTCTGGCAGGCCCTTAGCAGAGGCCAGTGCATCAAAAGGACTTGGCCAGAGCCCCGGGCTGTCGCCAGGCCAAAGGCAGCCATGATCCATCAGACCTCAGGATTTTCTGGAACCCACTGTTTGATCAGACTTGCCAGATTTCTCTGGGCCTGAGCTGGACAGAGGGAACCACTGGCGCTGAGTATGGGGACATGACCATGGGGCTACTGGGGGGTAGCTGCTTGCAAGCATCTGTCCTGGGGCTTAGGAGGGTGGCAGTGGGGGCAGGCATGTCCTGCAGTGGCCTGAAAGTACCTGTTACCGCTTACGGGGTACAGTTCTCCCTAGCCCTCACAACCACCACAGACAAAGTATGGTTAATCCGAGTATGGTTAACTCAAGGTGAAGAACATGGAGTTCGGTGAGACTGAAGGATTTCCCCCATGACACCCAGCCCATGAACGGCAGAGCCTCCATCTGAAACCTCATCTGCTGTCTCCAAAGCCCTAGCTCTTTGCAGCACACCGCACTGCCTCCCGGGCTTCAAGGTCAGGAGCTGGTCTGCTGCATGCAAGCGGCCTGACCCAGCTGATCGGTCACCTCTCTCCCCATCCTCCCTTCCCCAGGGCCACAGTCGCTCCCTCACGGGTGCACTCACTCACTCGTTCATCTACAACTAGTTCTTGAGGGCCTGTGATGTGCCAGGCATGCTGGGCCATGGCAGACAAGATGATACAGGCCCTGTCCTCACAGAGTTGGGAGCTGCTCTTAAACCACATTGCTAAAGGCCAGTCCTAGAACCCAGAAGGAGGATGGAGCTGTCATTGCCTGGAACAGAAACTGAAGTGGGAGTGATGTCCCAGCTTGCTGTGCCCTCCCCACCCCAGCCCACCCCAGGCCAGCCTCAGACCCATGCCTGCCTTGCCGGGCTCCTGGCCTTTCTTTGCCTTTAGCACACCTGGGGACGTCTGCCTTGCTTCCTCCCCACCTTAGCTCCATCCGGGAGCCCTTGCCCAGCACCTGCTAACTGGTTCGCACCTTGTGTCCCTGACATCGCCCTCCCCCAGCTATAGCTGGTTGGTTCAGGGCAGACCTGACCCAGGGGAACCAACCTAGGGGACAGAAGAACCAACTCGATTCTCTTGAAAATTTCAACCAACAGGTATTGAGACAGACTCAGTTCCGAGATCCTCACAACCCCAGAGAAAAAATGAGTGCCATATGTAATTCAAAACTTAAAGAAAAAAGACATAAACATAAAATAAGTGAGCGGAAGTGCAATGAAGTTCAGATTTTCCCCATGATGCCTATTTCAGTGCTCTTGCTTGCAGTAGTAAATACTTTAAAAATAAAAGCAACACGTCGGTGGTGCCCCAGCTCATGCTTTGCCCACCTGCAGGCAACTCAGTGCCAGGTCAACTACGTGTGGGCATGGGGACAGAAAGGTCACGGACAGCTGGGACAAAATAGCCCTGCTGGGGAAAGGTGGTCAGGAAAGAGAGGAGCCGCAGAGGGACAGGGAGAGATTATGCGGCCCCAGGGGGCAGAGTGGGTGACTTCGGGTGGGCTCCGCCTCCAGGGCTAGGTGCCCTTTGCTTTGGCGTGGTGTGCCCGTGACTGCAAGCCCCGCCCCCTCCCCGGGCTTAGGCTGGTTGGAGTGGCTTTCTGCCGGTCACCCCAGCCCGCCCCCCCGCCAGCCAGGACCCCCTGTGCCGCCACATACCGATCGTTGACGAAGGAGAACATGAGCAGCCTCTGCTCGATGAACCACTTCCACTCGGGGTTCTCGCTCTGAAGGTCGCGGTAATTGTCGTTAGAGACGATGACGCCGTCCAGCTCGTAGGCCACCTTCACGATGTAGCGGTCGTCGTAGCAGACCACCCGCTTGCCGTTCACCTTGCGGGACGGGGTGTACACGAGCACCGCCTGCTTCTCCAGCACCTCCAGCACGTGCTGCTCTGGGGGCCACAGGGCGGGCGGGAGACGGGATGCAGCGGCTTCCGGGGCAGGGCCCCAGCCCGAAAGCCACGCCCAGCACGCTCGGCCGGAAAACCACGCCCCGCACGCTCGGCCGCTCCCTCCTCCCCCCGCCGCGGCCCAGCCTGGCAGATGAGGAGCAGGGAGGTCCTGCGAGGCACGTGCCAGCAAACTGGGGTCAAGAGGCCCCGACCCTCATCCCTCTCTGCACACCAGATTTTACATTTCCTATAAAACCAGGAGGGCAACTCCTCCTCCACGTCCTCGGTGTCTGTGAGTAGACTGGCTAAGCTCACGTGGGCGACAGCTCTCAAGCAGAGTAGTGAGGCCGCCGTGCATCACGTACCACAAGGGAGCTAAAATCCACATCCCTGGCAAGTCTACTCTTGCACCTTAGCTGTGCTTTGGGAGGCAGGCAAAAGGAAATCCCTTGTACCGCTAACAGGTACTCAGAACTTGGAAGCGCATCAGTATATTCTTCACAAATGGTTTCTTCCCTCAAGTCGACATCCATTCCTCCATGACATGGTGTCCAGACTTTTAAAAAGTACACAATGCATTGAGGGTACAAAGGGTACTTTTTAAAGCCCACCTATGCAGCACTCCCTTAGAGAAATCGCCACGTGGCCATGCTCCCGTGGGCCCCCCCCACTTTGCTGCTGCCCTCAACGTAGCCCAATGTTTAGAACTTTGTGTTTATAATTCCCTTCCTTTCATTTTAAAAAAAATGTGCATGTATCCATCCCCCAAAACGACTATTTTCAATGTGATTAGGCCCTCTAAACTTTACACCAATGGGATCGTGTGCACATATTCTCCTGCACCTTGCTTTCTTCCTTTAACGTTGTGTCGGGGCGGGTGGGCCATGTACATAGGTTCACTGCTGTCGGTTCTGCATGTTAGTCTCCCGGGGACAGAAGTACAAGGATTTCTCTAGGGAGTACCTATAAGAGTGCTGTTGCTGAGTTGTAGGGAAAGGCACTTTCTAAGACAATGCCGAACTGTTTTCCAAAGTGAGTATATTAAGTTACTCCCCAACACAGCATTTTAGAAGACCTCCTCAATGCTTGGCATTTTCAGGTTTCTGAATTTTTGCCAATCTGGTGGGTGTACAGTGGACTCTTACTGTGGTTTTATTTTGCATTTCTTTGGATACTAATGAGACTGAGCATCTTTTCATATGTTTATTGGCCATTTATGTTTTCTCTTCGGTGAAAGGCCTATTCATGCTTTAGTTAATCTTTCTGTTGGTCCTTTGTCTTTGTCTTATTAATTTGGAGAAGCTCTCTGTAGATTCTGGACAGTAATCCTTCATCAGCAATGTGTGATGGATGGCCTCTCCCAGTTCAAGGCTTGTCTTTTCATTTTTTTTTTTGTTTTGTTTTCGTGGTATCCACTAATGAACAGAAGCTTTTATTTTAATGCAGTCAAATTTATGAATCTTTGCCCTGAAGCTTTGCACTTGTTGTGACTTGTTTACAAATTCCTTCCCTACCCTAAAGTGATTTCCCTACCCTTTACCCGTACTACATTTACATATTACACAACTGTTGAGAGCCACCATTCCCCATGTTCAGACAGTAAAGAATGATTTGGGGTGACCGGTTCCTGGTAGAGAACTGAACACAAGTATTTATCCCCGCCTCCTTCTCATGATTGGATTGAAGTGGCAGTGAAGATGCACACAACAGGGAGGGGGTCCATAATCACATTAAAACGGGCCAAGGAATAGCAGCAAACCCAGGAAAACAGCAATGAAACCAGGAGAGGAGCAAACCCAAGAAACCATATTGACCCCATAACCCATAAGGAGCCACAGCCCAGAATGTGTGTAGAAGGTTGAAGTGGCGCCTGGGTGGCTCAGTCGGTTGAGCGTCTGCCTTCAGCTCAGGTTATGATCTCAGGGTCCTGGGATCGAGCCCTGCGTCAGGCTCCCTGCTCAGCAGGGAATTGCTTCTCCCTCTGCACACAGTAATTTTGGGGACTTAATCATTCACACTAAAAGACAACATAATTTTTTTATTCATCTATTCAATAACTATGTACTGAGCACCTACTATACGCCAGACATGCTGGGTGCTAGTGTGATGGCAGTGAATACCTATAATCAGTGCTTTCAAGGAGCTTATAGTCCAGTGAGAAAGACAGACATTATCACACAAATAGCTAAGTAGATAACTGACTATAATTGTCAGGAGCACTACCAAGGAAAGGTGTATAGAACTTCTTGAGCATATCTCTGCTCCAGCCTACCTCTAATAGGGGTGTCGGATCTTGGTGGGTCTTTCCTCCAGGATGGAACAAAAACTTTGATGTAGGTGTGTCCTCTGTCCCTGAACCAGTCCACAGCCAGCTGGATTCCCCGGCACGAGAAGGCTTCTTTATTTCCATGGCTACAAGGGGAAAACACAGAAATCTGTAGAGTCACAGGAAGGGTTCCTGAAGGGTGATTTCCCCTGGGAATATCCTGAATCACAGTCTCCTAATCAAAGGGAATCAGGAAAATCTGCATTTTAAAAATAGTTCATTCTTTGCAAAAAACATATCCCTTAACCTGCACCATGCAGCTTGCGATAGATAGTACGTATACAGAGCGGGTGCTGGGCTCCAAGGGAGGGGCATTCCAAGGATTAATAGACAAGACCCCCCTTTTCCCCTGAAGCTAGTAAGGATCAACATAAGGCAGAGGACAGTAGTCATCTGCAGAATACTCTTGCCCTAAGAGAGGGGTGTAAATGTGTTACGGGGCTCCCCAAGTCCAAGTAAGGAGGCCAGTGTGCCCCGCAAATGCCACTGAAGTGTCGATGGAGGCAGGAAAGAGAGAGCAGTGTGAGAGGAGGCCCAAGACCAGGCAGGGCCTTGCGTGCCTTCCTGAAGACTTTCTTCTCCTAAGAGGAATGAGAAGCCATAGAAGGATTTGAAGACTGGCGGGGGGGGGGGGGTGTCTATGTGATGTGATGTGACACGACCCAGGGTGTGTTTCTAGAAGCTCAATCCGGCAGCACAGCGGATGCCACATCGGAAGGGAGTGAGGTGGGGGTGGGGTCCCAGTTAAAAAGCTGTCACAATCATCACAGCAAAACTGGATGGTGACGTGGACCGCGTGGGTGGCAGTGGAGAAGGGAGAAGGGTAGGTGAACCCAAGAGATATCAGGAGGGAAAACCTCCAGAATGTGGTGACTGGTGGGATACAGGGTGATAGAGAAGGCTTCCAGATCTCTGGCTTGTGTAGCTGGTGGGCTCCTCGTTGAGACTGGGAGTTCTGGAGGAGGACAGCGTTCGGAGGCAAAGAGTGTTGTCACGGACACACACTGAGTGGGAGGAGCCTCTGTGGCCTCTGGGTGGAACTGCTAAGTACACAGCTGGGGTCCAGAAGAGAGCTCTGGGCGATGGACACTGGGGGCATCTGTGCTCACACAAGGGCTGGAACCAGGGAATGGAGAGAACTGCCTGGCTCCCCAGAGGGAGAGCAAGAGGCCTGGAAGACGGGTCTGGGGGTGCTCTGGGACTCAGTAGCTAGCGACAGGGAGAGTAGGGCAATCTTACAGAAGAGACAGAAAGGGTCTATCAGGCCACAAGGAAGTAAACCAGAGGAGTCCTGCATTTGCAAGCCACAGGAAGGAGGTGGCCGGGTGCTGCTCGGAGGGACCCATAAAGTCTGAGAACATCCCTCAGACTGAGTCTGTGCAGGTCGGTGGTGTTTTGCTGGTGAGGGAGACAAGTGCATAGACCTGAGGGAATGAGATTTCGAATCAGACTTAGCCCTGGGTACGACTCAGCCTGGCCTCAGGATGAGGTCACTCTCCGCTCTGCTTGCAGCCCAGCTACCTTTACCCTGGCCAGGCACCTTCCCCACTCCTACCGCAGGACCTTTGAATGAGCTATTTCTTCTCCTCTCGGCCCAGTCCATGCCTCCTCCTCCTTCAGATCTCACCTTCATCTCTACTTTCTCAGGAAAGCCCGCCCCCCGCCCCCTATTACAAGTTCTCACAGCACTAATCACAGTTGAAGGATGACACCCACCATAGGATGAATGGGTCTCCCCCTCTCTAAATCACAAGCTCCTTTTGCTCCCCATTGAATTCCCAGCACCTAGCGCGGTGCCCGATGGTTGGTAGCGGTCAGTAAAAATGTGCTGAACATGGGAGCAGCTGAGAAGACACAGGTCCTGCAAGCAGCTAGAGGGGGAGCAGCCCTGGGGAGGAGCCGGCTGGAAAGACCCCAACGCAGGAAAGGCTCAGCTTGTCCAGGGGCCAAAGAGAGAACAGAGTGACCGGGGCATGGGGAGGGAGCAAAGGGGACAGCCACAGGTCACCGAGACCCCCGTCCCCTGAGAAGCCTGGTCCGCAGCAGCCCGCTCCCTACGTCCAGACAAGGACAGTGCTCCAGATTTTTTGTGTTGGGCTTTGTCTTGGGTGTGGCCCCTCCTGATATTTCCTCAGAGGGGTCAAGATAGCTCTGGGTTTGCAAGAGAAAAACGGGAGTCTTCGGAAACACAAATCGATAGTATTGCAAGTCAGGCTCTGTGGAGAGACAATGAGAACTCTGAATTGCTTCGGCTCCAGGGACAGATCAGGAACCAGGTCTTGCGTCCTACCGGTAGGTATCTTCCAGTTTAGAGAAAATAGGCCTCTGGCCATGGAGGCTGAGCTGGGAGGCTGATGCAAACCGTAAGGAGAAAATACATCAATGTCTGTGGGGAAAGGAAGTGGACAGCGCATCCCTCTGCCCCAGCGGAAGCCGAAAAAAGAAAGGCGATGGAGGGAGAAAGTGGAGGTCCTTCATGGGGTCCTCACCCCTGCATCCCCCACCTGCTCCACTGCCTGAGCCAGAAGGGGGGCAGGGGTAGAAACATCAGGATGGGTGTGAAGAGGAGGCCGAAGGCTTGTCTCCCAGAACAGCCTAGGCAAGTCATAAGCTTCTCGGAGAAATCCTGGTTTTAGCAGGTGCAGCATCCCACGGGGCTGCAGGGCTGCCTTGGAGGAGAGGGGTAGACAGGTGAGCTGGAAGCAACATCCCTGGATCCCTCACGTGCCCCCGGGGCCTCGTGGATTGTCTGAGGCCTGTGGATGGACAAATAGGCCCCTGGAGGGGGGCAGAACTGTAAGCCAGGATGGCATTCCAAAAGGCCAAATGGGACCAATGACTTTTCTCGGCTGACCCTTTAGAAGCCAGGCCAGGCCAGACCAGCCGCTCTTTAGCAGAACCCAGTGAGAGTCCCAGACCCCCCTCTCCCAGCCAACATCAGGTCTCAAAGCCCCCAGATGCCATGTGGGAGAAGAGCAGGGGAGGGAGAGGAAACATGAACCCCAAATCATCCAGACGGCAGAAGACACTGAGATATCACAAATTGGTAAGTTTAGGTTTGCCCCTCTCCACTACCTAAACAGGTAGGGAAGAGATGGTATCTATCCTGGAAAAGAAGGTCTATTTTCTGTGCACACTGAAGCAGGAATGTGAACAACTAAAGACACCCCACCCCCAAACATGCCTCTGTCGGCTGCCACGAAGTCTACCCTCCGTCAGTTCTCGAGCAAACCTATCACTGCCATAATTCTTTTAAAATGGTGTCTTGAGTGCTCTCTTTTCTGTGACTTCCCATCAGTTTCTGTGACTACACACCTTTGATGGGTAGGTGGCTGGAAGGGGCACGTTCAGTGATGAAGCGGAACCCAATCCCTCCGAAGAGATAAAGGTGAGCAGGGTGATGAGTTCTGGTGATGGTGGGCAGGACCACAGCCTGCAGTGGCCCTGCTGGGGGCATGTGGAGGGGAAGGGATTGGTAGTTCAGGAGTTCAGGAAGAGAAAAACAAAGGAATGGTGCTACCATCGGCTTCAAGCATCAAAAACCGGTCCCATGACTTCTCGGACACAAGACTCCAAGACGGCAGAGGCTTAGCCAAGAGTTTCAAAAGGGCAAGTCCAGGAGAAGACAGAAAAAAACATGCATCTGCCCATAGCCTGCCTTCCCTCCCTAAGAAGTGCTCTCCTTTCCAGCTTTGACTCCAGGCAAGGGAAGTCAGGGACTAAACCCTAGAATCACTAAGCTGCTGTCTCTGAAATGGAGGGTTTTCATTCAGGTCTGTTGTTTTGCAGGACTGAATTCCCACACGCCCCACCCTAACCTCTCCTCTGAGCTTTCTGGTCTCTTCTGAGATGCAAAGATTGTTATTGTTCAATCCTTGCCACTTTTTTTTTTTTTTTTTACAACCTCAAAACCCCAGTATGGCTTCCCTATTTCTGACCACAGAAAGGCCTGGGCCATGGCAGGATTGAAGCCACAAGCAGGGGCTACCTTCTGGCTACTTGTGGGGGGTCTCTCTCTAGGAGCCAGCAGAGCTCCCCGTCAGGCAAGAAAGCGGCCACGGTCACCCTAGAACCGCACCCCTCGGCACACAGATGGAAATGCAGAAGCACCCGTTCACTTAGGCATCCCTCCACACACTCCACATCGATTTATGAATGTCTTCAACGAGGCTCCGGGCTGGGTCCTCGAGACTGGTGAACAAGACAGACCTCATTACTGCTGCTTCCTGGAGCTCATTTTTAATATTTGTAGCGAGTCCTGTGTACCAGGCCACTTTGCACTCTGCGCTCCAATCATTACAAGGAGCCCCTGAGGAAGTGAGCGTTGTCCCACTGCACCCTTGAGGAAACTAAAGCAAAGAAATGTGCCCAACTCCCTGATCTAAAGACAGATCTCAGAGCCTGATCTGTAGGGTTGCAACCTCCTCCTCCTCCTCTATGGCTTACCCCGTGTATTCCTGGCCCTCCCAGTCTCTGCCCCTGAGATGGAGACAGCAGTTCCTTTGGAGTGTAAGTCCCCTGCTGTTACAAGGCTGGAGTCTGGGGAGGGACCTTAGCGCTTACTAACGGGGGTCACTGCGAACCAGCTCGTCAGACTGCAAGCTGAGAGCCCGGTCCTGGGAGGAGACAGAGGAGGGAGGTTTTGAATAAAGGGAGAGTGGTGAGGGAAAGTGGGTTGGTGCCCCAGGCAAACTTTGTCTGCAGGCCAGGTGGGCAGCCACAGTCTGGCCACCATGTGTAGGAAGTAGCCCACCTCGTGGCTCATCACTGTATCGTGGACTCTTGCCCAGGAGGTTCTGCCGAAGTCAGCGGCTCACGGAACAGTCCCACAGAGCGTGAGGTGGCGGTTGTGGGGTGGGAGGGAAGGAAAAGAGAAGTGGTGGTCCCTTCAGAGCATGACATGTGAAGGCACGCCACTCTTCCCACTCCGTTTCTTATTTGGGGTTAAATTGCAAACCCCTGGGACCTGCAGTTTATAGCCTTTGCACCCAAAGATCTCTCCCCAGCTGAGGTCAGGGGGAAGAGAGAGGGTGGCCTCTGAGAGACGGGGCACCTTCATCTCAGAGAAGGAGAAACGGGTGCAGACCTAGCCAGCATGGGTCAGAGGCAACTCAGGGGCTCAGAAGCAGGTGTGACCCCAGCCCAGGTGTGCAGCCTCCCCTAGTAACCCACTGAGAGGGGGCTGATGACCCCCTCCACCCCCTTGCAGGCCCGAGCCCTCGTCACCGAAGATTTGTGACTCCAGAATAAGCCAGATTCTGTTGAGGTTCCTAAGAGTTTAAAAATGTACATGAGAACCCAAACAAAAAGCCCGGTGCACCCCAAAATGAGGGCCCATTTACATGAAACCCTTGTCTGGGGCAGCAAGAGGATGTGAAATTATCAGGTGGTTTTCCCCCAAGCTGAAGTCCTTCACATCTCTTTTCCGACATTTGCCCACAAAGCGCACAACCTAGGGGGCACTCGAGAGTCAGCCTGGCCAGCAGAGCGGGCAGCAGCCGGCCCGTGAGAAGCCGTGCTCCTCCCAACGCCCCTTGCAGCTCTTAACACGCGGTCCACGAAAGCCACCTTCTGCTTCAAGCCTGCTGGACGCTTTCCCCGGGGTCAAGGGCAGAGCCCTCGAGCACGCAGCTCCCCGCCTCGTCGCTCCGGCACGGACACACGTGCGCATGCGCACAGGCACACCGCCGCCCCTCCCCGCGGAGGTACGGGGACTGTGCTGGAAAATCAGTCTCTGCACCGCTGCACCGGGGCCACGGGTCACTGCATAGGCGCTGCCCTCAGCACACGGTCCCAACAGGCTGGCCGCAGCAGGAGAGGCGTCCTGGGCACCGGTCCTGCAGAGAGCACCTGCCCCCTGGTGGGGGACTGGGGGGCCCAGCGCAACCTGTCTGCAGCAGGCAAGTCGGGGCTCATCCTGCTGGGGAAGGGCTCTGGGCAGCACAGGCAGCCTCTGGCCCCAGAGTCGAAGTCCATGAGGTCAGTGTCCCACCCTGAGACGTTTTCGAAGCCTGGACAGAGAGAAAGCCAAAGATGCATGGCTCTTTGGAAAGAGCTCTGAAAGCAGAGCCTGGCACTTACTGCTCTGTGACCTTGGGCAAGTTACCTACCCTCTCTGAACCTCGGCAGAAGAAGAGAAATTCCTTTATAAGAAGAATGCATTTATCTCTTTCATGCATGCATAAAATAATCACCTTGAATCCTGTGATTTTACAGATGAAAAGCCATTTAAAATTATTATGATTTCATCCAACCTCTTAATTGTATAAACAGGGCTCAAAAACGTCAGGTGACTCACTCCGAGGTCACACAGCTGAAAAGCTAGATCTGTACAGTCCAATACATAGGCACTCACCGCATGTGGCTATTTACACTTAAATTCAAATTAATTCAAAAGAAATAAAATTTAAAATTCAGCTCCTTGGTCACAATAGCTACATTCCAAGTGCTTAGCAGCCCCAATGCATCCAGTGGCCATCGTAATGGACAGTGCAGGTATAGAACTGTCCATCATCGAAGGGAGTTTTATTGGGCAGCTCTCAGCTAGAGGTCAGGACTGAGAGCTTCAGACCCTTGGCAGCCCCTCAGGGCAGCAAGGACATGTGTCCCAATCTGCCTTTTCAGTCTTTCCCCACTTCTTCCAGGGCCAGACAGCAGACGAAGCCATATCCTCTTCAAAAGCAGAGAATGGCCACGACTGTGATGCTACAAAACCTCAGGAAAGGAGAATTTTCAGAAACCATGTTTCTGAGGTTAACTGAGTTTTGAGGTCAACAGATCATAACTAGACACCACGTTGGGTTTCAAACTACCCATTGCCTCTAAAGGGTGAGCCCCACCCTGAAACCTGTCCTTCGCAGCTGGGACCTGGCAGAGTCTGAGGGTCATGCGTCGTGTGGGAGCTCCAGCTGGAGGACACGGTGGGAGGACGCTGTTGCAGGAGAAGAGGCGGGGGATGGGGCAGGACCTCAGACCCCAGCTGCCTCCCAGACTTGCCTCTGAGCAAACCAAGTCCCACCCACCAACTGGTGGCTGTGTGATGTGTCTTTTTTTCCTAACTAGAGATGCAGAGGGCAGGGGAAAGGAATGGGGTGTTTGTGTGCACACAGACACGTGTGTGCACGCACAGAGGTGTCCACACGCTGAGACCTCATGCAGACACAGGTGTGCTTTGTTGACTGAGATGATTTTTAGGCAGCAAGCGTTTAGTGTTCTGACACACTCTTTCTAACAAGCCTGAGTGATGGCTTCCATTTGTCACCCACACAGGTGGAGAGTGAAGGGGTTAAACGGGTGACAACCGTGGGAGGTGGGGGTGGGAATAAATGGATTTACCTGGGACACATCGTGGTCACACACAAGGAGAAGATGCAGTTTAAGTTTGAATTCCAAACAGCAACAGAGATTTTCATCAACAGAAAATCCTCCAACACCACCCTATCAAAATAATTTCTAAAAACTGTCTGGTCCCCCACAAGAGCCTGCCCACACTTTCCTGTAGCACCTGACATAGTCCTTCTAGCCCACAGCCATTCTTTTGGTCTGGAATCACAGAGCTGGTATAATCTTAGGGCTGGAAAGGTCTTCAGTTTAAGCAATACCCTTTTACCTTTAAAATCTTGTCTCTATGGATGTCCAGAAGGAGAGGTGGCTTGTCCTGATCAGACAGAGGCCAGGTCCCCCTCAGAATCCTCAGACTTTCTAGGACACCTCAGAACCTTAAAAATTCTTAAAAGTCCTTTCAACTCCCCCTGATATCTCAAATTAAGCAGGATTTCATAGACTGGTCTATCGGGTACTTACATGGGAGCATGTGTGCAGATGTTACAGAGACCCCAGGACCACCCCAGGGTGACCTGGCTGGCTCAAACTTGAGCCAACACTCTCAGGACACACAAAGCGGGACACCTAGGGACAGCACCCAGGGCTGGGCCATTCTGGGTGGGACCATTCCACACTTCTGTCCTGCAGTGCTAAGTCCAAAGTGAGCCTTCCCAATCCCCCCAAGGAAAGCCACTGGACCTGTCAGCCAAAAGACAGACGCCCTCCTGACACGTTCAGCTCTGCGGGTAACACAGCTTTTCTCAGTTCCAGCCAGTGGCTCAACTTTTGAAAGGGGAAGTCCTCTGTTTACAGCTATGAGGGACTGATTTCCTAGGGATCTGCCCTTTTGCCCACCTGTAACTAAGGCACGTAGCACAGAACTGCACTTGTATGAATACAACCTCCTGCCTGCCTGCATGGAGTGTGGCTGAGACGGTGAGAGTGTCTGCAAGCTGATTTTAGCCATGCAGGCGTCAGGCTGTCATCACTGAAACACACCAAGATGCCCAGACACAAATATCAACCACCGTGTCTGCCACTCAGGGGCCATGGGGGTGCGTCTCAGACCAGCTGGGGAACCACAGCGCCACCAGCCAGCCCTGGAGCAGCAGGTCTCCTCCCCCGGGAGAGGGCTTCCTGTTCAAGCACCTTTCCCCATCTGATTCTCGTTACCTCGAGGGAAGTAGCAGAGCTCTTAGTAGCCTGGTGTCACAGAAGAAACTTGAGATGGGATACTCGAGACAAGAAGCCACAATCTGCCAAGGCCCAACGCTAGGCTCCTCCCCAGCTCCCTAGTGCCCTCCTCAGAAGAGAGCCTCTCTCTGGGTTGGTATGATAGTAGGAACCACCTGTTGAACAATTACCCTTCGACAGGCACCGTCCTAGGTATTTGGTGCAGCTCCAAGTCTTACAACTACTTTCTAGGGAGGCTTTATACCCACATTACAGATGGCAAAAGTGAGGCTCAGAGAGGTTAAGTGACTTACGTAAGGCCACACAGCTACCAAGGGGATGGAACGGGGATTCAAAGGCCCATCCGTTAGCCCCAAAACTCTTTGGACGAAACCACTGAAAAGGGGGACAGTTCTCCCACCCCAAGGCTACAGGATGAAGCAAAGTACCTCATTGCCACGTTGCTGCCGTCGATCACTATGGGTCGCAAGGAACTGGCTGGGCCTCCGCAATCCTCTTCCAGCTCTGCCGCCTGCCTGCGCAGGGCAGAGTCCGGGGTGGCGCAGGAGCCCCTGGGGATGAGCACGGGCGCCGCGCTGCCCTCATGGGCCCCCGGGCGGCTGCCGGTCTGGATCAGCTCCTGCAGCACATCATTGACCAGGGCGCCCTCACCCAGTTTGCCCAGCACCCTGACCACATCCTCTGGGCTGTAGCCCAGCTTCTGGAAGAACTCCATCTTGCTTGAGCGCTCCATGCTGCGCCAGCTGGGCCCCCGGCGAGGGTCCGGCCCCTGGTTTCCTTCTGGCAGAGCCACGGTGGCATGAGCTAAAGAGAAAAAGCATCCATCAGGTGTTTTCTGAGCCGCCGGGCCTGGAGGCTGTCGGGTTACTGAGGGCAAATTATGCACACTCCCTCCCCGCCTTATCTGTCAGGAAATCATGTTGCCTGGTCCCCTTGGGGATTTTCAGTTGCTCAGTGTGGTTGGGGAGCCACAGATGCAATCATGTTGCTTTTACTTGTGCACTTTCTGAGGCCTTCACCCCACACAGTGGCCCCCGCAAAGATCCACTGGCCGTAGGCACCGAGGGCAGCTGAGCAGACCACCCAGCGCTTGGAACATTTGTGCACAGGCCAGAGGAATGTTCCTGAGGCTCTGTCATGGGTGGGATCCCACTCCCCAAATTCATACGCTACAGCCCTATCTCCCAGTACCTCAGATTGTGACTACGTTTGTACATAGGGTCTTTAAAGAGTTGATTAAGTTAAAATGAGGTCATTAGGGTGATCCCTGGTCCGATATGACTAGTGTCCTCATAAGAAGAGGAGATTTGGGGATGTGGGTGGCTCAGCCAGTTAAGCGTCCCACTCTTGGTTTGGGCTCAGGTCATGATCTCAGGGTCCGGCGATGAAGCCCAGCTCTGCGCTCAGAGTGGGGAGTCCGCTTCCCCCTCTCTCTCCCTCTGCCCCTCCCCCCACTTGTGTGCACGCTCTGTCTCTAAAATAAATAAATCTTTAAAAAAAGAATCATGAAAGTATATTTACTGTGAAAAAAGTGAAACAATGCTAAAGTATAAAGAATAAAAATATAAAATGTCTCTTCGTACAAACCCCAAATCCCACTTGCCTCTCCTGCTATTTGTTCGTATCCTTCTCGTGCTTTTCCGATGTCCTGGCTTGCGTATCGAATAGATCCACACATATTGTCTTAGCGGGGTTGTTTTTACATAAATAGTATCATACTATATGGTTGTGCAGCAACTTGCTTTTCTTATTAAAACTGCATCTGGGAAATCTTTCCATGCCAGTTTTTCTGTTCTGCTGCTCCCTGTATCCCCAGCATCTAGGACAGCGCCTGGCCCATCGGACTCTCCATGCCACATGATGGAAGTGTAGCTTGCCTTCCCCTTCTCCCTGTTACAGATCAGGCTCAAGGGACACCCACGCACATCCATCCTGTCACCCGCCGTCTTCCCCACAGGACAGGTGCTCGCAACTTCCCCTTCCTGGTCTCCTGCCCACATCCTTGGCAGCAACTGTGCCTTCCTACCAGGTTCTCAGCGGGGCTCCCCGTTCTCTGCAGGGCCACTGCCCTGAGGCTGGAGCCCCAGTAGAATGACCCCGACGGCTCTGGCAGGACAAGGGCTTTTGCAACCTGGACAGAGCGGCCCGGCTGCTCTTCCACGTGTCACCCCCACTCGTGCCCCCCCCCGCAAGCTCCCCCGGGACCTCCTCACTGCCGTATCCAACAGCAGCTTCAGCACCTTATCCAAACTCCCTGCAGCTCTCAACGCCGAGGACCACACCCTTGCGTGTCATTTTAAATAAAACATTTGGAAAACATTTTGGACCACCTCCTCTTGAAACTCTTCTCCCTGAGGCCGTACAACTTGGCCTGAGTTTCTAAGTCTTTCCAGTTCTTTCCTTAGTCTGTGCTCATGTGTTTGACGATGGGGTCCTGCCCAGGCCGTCTGCTCTCCCCATCATGCTCCCCACCTGCCGCTACACCCGGGGGTCCACAATTGCACTTCTAGCTGAGACCTCCCTAAGCACCAGGCACCCCCAGTTATAAATCTGTAAGGTAAGTGGTATGCATGCTATTTGAATAAAGTGCTGGGGGCGGGGGGAGCTCAGAATACTGTCACTCGCCAAACATTTGCTGAGTCTACTTCAGTGGTTCTCAAAGTGTGGTCCGTGGAAACTCAGGGAGGGCCTACAACCCTTTCAGGGAGACTTCAAAGTAAAAACTGTTTTCATAATAACACTAAGGTGTAATTTGCTTTTTTTTCCCACTCTCATCCTTACGAGTACATCATGAAGTAAGTATTCCGTGTCGTGCAATATTGTAACAGAGCCAATGCAGAAGCCGATGGGCAAACCCAGCCGTCTTCTGTTAAGCCACATGGTAGAGATTTGCACAACGTAAATCAGTGCCAGTCTCCTTACAAATTTTCTGGTTTGGGAAAACAGTTATTTTTCATAAAAATGCATCATTTATATAAATGTAATGGTTTATTATTATTTAAGGTAAAGGAATATTGTTTAATTTCTTAATTTTAGTTTCTCCATAAGGTACATATCAATGGATGGATATAACCCCACATAAACAAAAGCTCTTTTGCATCCCTAATAATTATTAAAAGTGAAAAGGAGTTCTGAAACCAAAAGTTTCTTCTTAAATCCAGAGCTTTCCAGTAGGTATTTCCAAGAAGATGGTTCCATGGAGGTGAAGCATAGACATGTCACCCAAGACCCCAGGAGAGAGGTACAGGGTCTTGCCCTCCTTTAGCCTGGGCTCTCTCACCCCCATCTGCCCACCTGCCCCCTACACCACCCCCCCACACCTTCTTCATCCCATACCTAATTCACTGTCACAGCCTCCTATGGGTCTCCCTCTGAAACCCCATCTGGCCTAGCCCCTGTTTGTAGCCAGCAGTATATTTCTAGAACAAGTCTGACCATATCACGCCCTTTCTTAGAAACATCCTCAGACACCGTGTTGACGACAAGAAAGACACCAAATTCCAGAGCAGTCTGCCGAGCCACCACCATGCAGTGCTGACCCCGGTCCACCTCCTCGCCCACCACTGGCCCACCTGGCCCTTTCTCTTGAGAACTCTACCTCTGAATCTACCCCCCCACCCCCACCCCTGCTCCCCAAGCATTCCAGAAGGTTCTCATCACTGTGCTTCTGCATATGCTTTCCTTTCTACCTGGAATGCTCTTTTGGGTTCACCAAACTTCAAGATTTAGCTCAAGTGCTACTCAAAGTGGTCACCCCTGAGTCCACAAACAGAATGAGTGGCTTGATCATCTATCTACCAGGCACTTCGCTCACACCTCTGTTAGAATGCACTGATTTGTCATTTATCTGTATCTCAAGAAACTGTGAACTACACTCCCACCTATTTGCCTCAAAATCACCAGCACCTGGCACAGTGCTAGTATATTGGGAAGTTCAATAGAGTTTTCTTCAATTGATGCCCAAAGCCGAAAATAATCTTCCCTCCTCAAATACTTTTTCTTGGGTTCCCATCTCATTGAGTGGAGTCCCCCAGGCCCCACGAAGAAACCTCAAGGTCATCTCTCACTCTCCGTTTGCCTCACTTCTACACTCAACTGGACAGTTTCTACTTCCTGCACATTTTCCACAAGCACCCCCTCTGCCTTACACAACAGGACCCTAGTTCATTCATTCATTCCTCCATCCATCCATCATTCATTCATTCATGTAATAAACACTTCCTGACCACCTACTGGGCACTAGGCACTGTGCTGGGACCCAGTTCCATAAACTAATATACAGCCCAATTTCAATTTGTTCCCAACCTATTCAGGAAAACAGACCAAAATGTAAACAACAAGCCATAAATCGTGACAATAAGCACAATACTTTCAAATAGAAAAAAAGGTGCTTTCAAAACTCAGGTGAGGAATAACTTATCTTCCTTTCAGGGGAAAGGAAAGTCCAGAAAGACCCCCCTGGGACTGGACAATGAAGGACAAGCTGGCTTTTCCCAGTCGGGGAAGAGCTGTGGCATCTCTCCTGGGGGCCCTGGGGGCGGATTCCTCACCACACTGCCGCCCACCACAACACTCATCTAGCTAGTCCACGGACCAAGATTTCTGTCCCTCCATCTGGTAGAGAGGAAATGTCCCAGCTCTTGAGCAGGAGAGTCAAGGCCCTCTCCACCAGGACCGGCCCACTCCCCAGCCCCCTCAGCCATATTCTTCCAGTGCAGCTTCACCTTCTGCTCCTTGACTGGCGACCAGTCCTTCCCCTCGGGATGGCTGTTCTCTCAGACTGGGGTCCAGCTTTGGTCTGGGCTCCATGCAGGAAGAGGATCCTCACCCAGCCTGGCAGGCCAGCCTCACACCAGGCGTTGCTCACTGTCCCTGAAAGACCCATGGGTTTCATTCGGGCTCTTCCTCCCTCAGCCCGGAGGCCTGCCCCTCCCTGCGCCAGGCCTGACCCCACTGTCACCCCTGTCCTTCCCAGTCCTGCTAGCCCAGCTCCACCCCCACCTCCACCCCTCCCTGCCCATGCGTGCAGATGGCACTTACTTTGATTTGAAAGACAGAGGAGAAGGGAAGGGAGAGGAGGGGTGGGGGAAAGAAAAGAGAGAGGGAACGAAGGTGAGAGGAGGGGAAAAAGAAGAAAGGTCGGGACGGGCAGCCAGAGCACAGCAGTCTGTGTTCATGGAGCTCTTCAGTGTTCCCACCTCGCCTGCGTGGAGACACTTCCTTGAACTTCCCATCGCGCCTGCGGATGGGGGCCGGGGGAGACCAGAGATGACAGCCTTCCCTTCTCACAGGTGAAGAATCTGAGGCTCCGAATGGCATAGGGTCAAGGTAACACAGTTAGGGGCAGAGACTGGCCCTACGCAGACGCCAAAAGGAGTGTGTCGCTCTGAGTTGTGTTCAAGATGGAGGTAACGTCTTGTTACTACAGAGATGGAAAAACCAAAATACACCTGGGCTGGGTGGCTCCTCTTTGGTCACAAAGTAACAGCTGCAAGGAGAGTCCATGCTTGTTGTATAACTCTGTGGTCTGGTATGACAGCATCACAAACATTTTCACAATGAAAAGACCTGGGGCTGGGACCCGGGGCTTTCACCTGGGGCGGGGAAACGAGAGCGGCCACGCGAGGCCCCGTCCCCAGCAGCTCTCCACAGCACCCACAGGTTCCAAAAGGGCCCCTTTTCTTTCTTTTATTTTTTTTTTTTTTGAAGATTTTATTTTTTGGAAGTAATCTC